TGACATTTTCTCCTCTCCTCCAGAGCCACAGAGGCCATCAACCCCACCCCACACAGCCACTTAGACCCATCCCCTGGAGCCAACCAGCCCCACAGGCAGCTGTATCACTTGGCCCCAGATGGGCTGGCCCCCTTGGTTCCTGAGGCACAGCAACCTTCCCTGGGCTGGAAGGAAGCTGGCAGGCCCCTTCCCATCTCAGTCAGGGATGCTGGGACTGGGGAGGGCAGCGCGTGCTGGGTGGTGTTGAAAGCTCTTTCTGTGGTAACCATCCGGCAGCCCCACAGGGGGTTAGGACACTTCCTGGCAGGCCTCCAAGGATGCAAGGGGTGTTGGCTCTGCCTGGCGGGGGCGGGGGAGCAGCAGGAGAAACGGGCGGAAAGCCCGTTGTTAGCACCCACAGTGGGAGCCCACCTCGGTGACAGGACGGAGCAACCCGGGTGAGTGTGGGGAGAGATGTGGGTGAGGGGTCCCTCGGGAGGGCGGTGGGTGGGGTCAGGGCAGCGTTCCCTGTAAGCTGGGCACTTGTGCAGCTGCTCAGAGTCAAATGCCACCCAGCAGATTCGCAGAGCGCCCTCAGCTGGGTGTTGTGTTTCAACCAGTGGTGCACATTCGCATGTAACTCAGTGCACATAACAAATTTATCCTGCACATGGAGAGAGAGAGTGCACACATGGATGGAAAAGATTAGAGGGAACTTTGTTCAGGGGTTTGGGGCTGGTTCACTGCAGGAAGAGGTGACTGGCCTGTGGAGGGCGAAGGATCCTTTGGGACAGGACCCTTGCCCTTCATTCCCCCTGGTCAGAGGAGCGTCTCATCCTGCAAGCCCTAAATCTCTGCCTCTCTCATGGTTTCCTCTACTTCCAACTTGTCTCCTAGGTAGAGACTGGCCTGTTGCCCCTCCCTTGGGGCTTCCCCCCACAGGGACCAGGCCGATAATCTTTGGGGTGACACTCTCAGGAGGGGGCTGCAGGGGCTGGGGTGGGGGGAATGGCTCTGCTCATCCTTCTCAGATTGACGCTCCCCCATTACTCCCTTCGCAGGCTCGGTTGCTTGATTCGTGTCACCGCACCCAGGGGCCGCCATGCCGGAGCTGGAATCCCCACTGCACAGCTTCCTTGGGGTGCAGCCCAGAATCCTCGGGGTGAGGCCTGGCCCAGAGAGAGACGGGGCTGGGAGCTTCCTTCCTGCATCTCCCCTTGGGCCTCCCTCCTGTTCCCGCCTCCCACAGCTGTGGCAGTGCCCCCAGATGTGGCTCTGTGGGCAATGAAGGTCCCGCTCCTTTGCCACACCCAGAAATCAGGGAAGTGCTCTGGGTCTCAGGGCCCTGTGCTGGCCCCTAGAACTACTTGGGCTCACTTTGGATAGGGCTTGAGCCTCAGAGTGGGAGGGAAGCAAATGCCCATGTGGTTTATCAGCAAACAGCCCTTCCCCCGGCCCTGATGCCGGGCTCAGCAAGGCTGGCTTGCGCTCTGGGCCATGCCAAGGGTTGGTATCCGACGGGCATCGTTAGCGACCGCCGTACTCCCGGACCCCTTGCCAATGGCTGCAGCATCTCTCGTTGCCAGGCGATGCTAGTGGTGCTGGGGCTGCTGCAGGTGGCCTTCGGAACGCTCTTCGTCATCGACAACTGCACCTACACAGATGGTGTCGGCATCCACTTCTTCCCAGGAGTCCTGGTAAGAGGAGTCGTCATCTGGGCTCCCCCATGGGCCCACCCATGCCCACCTCTGCCAGTGCCCCCTCAACCCTGACCTGCAGCCCCCTGGCTATCCCAGCTCTGGGCTCCCCACCCCCTCTACACACCTGTGACAGTGCCCCTCAATCCTCACCTACAGCTTAGAGCTGAATAACTTTCCCTCCCCCGAAGCCTGACAGTTTCTCCTTGTGCTCTGACTCCCTACAGTTGTTCTTGGCTGGCATCACTGCCATCGCAGCTGACAAAGCACCTAGCATGGCCCTGGTGAGTCCTGGTCCTCTCTGTCTATTTCCATCTCTCTCTCCCCTCCCCGGTTTCCTTGGGGACCACGTTGCCCATAGTTCTGCTCTCTCGCAGGCGAAGGCCAGTCTGGTGATCCAGATCATCGCTGCAGCTGTTGTCGTGGTGATCTGTTTCCTCTACCTGAGGGACCTGTTCTCCTATCTCAATTTTGACTGTGATCTCCAGGACTGCCGTGTGCATGACCAGATCCTGGTGAGTCGTCCCGTCCCTCTCCTCCCCTGATCCCATGTCCAGCCCTGCCTTGTTTCGGGAGACAATCAGCTGTCTTCTGGGGGAGGGGGAAGGTGTATGATGCTGGGGGATTCAGATGCCATCATCTTTTGTGCCTGGGCTTCCATTCCACCCCCTTGGCTGCTATAACTCTGAAGGCCAGAGTCTGACCTACATAGCATGGGTCAGAGAATGTCTTGTCTTAGGTTCTTCTATCACCCCTTAACCACTTTAATGTCTGGATCTTGGGAGGCAGAGCTGTGCTCTACTCTCCAGCTTACAGACGGAAAAGGCTAACGCTCATCACACCTAGATACTTGTCACAACCTGGACCTACGTGTCTGTCTATACGTCATGCAGGACATGGATGGCAGTCATGGCTTGTTAGACCATCCTTTTTTCCCCCAATAATTGACCATTACCCCGTGACTTTTGCCTAGCTGAACCCAATGCCCTGTGGTCTAATGGCAGCGTCTATCTTAGAGATCCAGTCTCATTTTAAGGATTCCCTATGCAGCGGCTGTTTAATTACCACATTGTCTTCAGAGTCTGGATAACAGACAGCTTTGCATCCAAACACTGCCAGAGAAACAGTGAAGCACAACCCCAGAGTTGCCGTGAAGAGTGCAATGCCCCGCATGCCTGTGCAATAGATCTAGAGAAGAGACCAAGGACAGAAAATTACAAACAATTCCCTGTAGATCAGCATAGAAACTAGAGCTAGGAAGACAACTACATCACCACTTATATCCCTACAAACAGTGGAAGGGGGATACCTTCTAAGGACTTTCTCTCCAGCCCCCTTGTCAGTGATGCTGGGGACCATGGAAAATGTACACCATTGGAATTCTACACCATGAGAATATTAAATATTAATAATCATTCAGGGTATGTCTACACTCCCCCGCTAGTTCGAACTAGCGGGGTAGTGTAGACATACCCTGAATGATTATTAATATTTAATATTCTCATGGTGTAGAATTCCAATGGTGTACATTTTCCATGGTCCCCAGCATCACTGACAAGGGGGCTGGAGAGAAAGTCCTTAGAAGGTATCCCCCTTCCACTGTTTGTAGGGATATAAGTGGTGATGTAGTTGTCTTCCTAGCTCTAGTTTCTATGCTGATCTACAGGGAATTGTTTGTAATTTTCTGTCCTTGGTCTCTTCTCTAGATCTATTGCACAGGCATGCGGGGCATTGCACTCTTCACGGCAACTCTGGGGTTGTGCTTCACTGTTTCTCTGGCAGTGTTTGGATGCAAAGCTGTCTGTTATCCAGACTCTGAAGACAATGTGGTAATTAAACAGCCGCTGCATAGGAGGGAAGGGGAAGAGAAACAAAATGAGAAAACGGGATCTTTATTTTTTTTTTTAATCACTATAACTCCTGACACACAGCTCCAGTTCCAGCTTTGTCTTGTTGATGGCAGGCTGCACCCTGCTTGGTACTCTACAGCACAGACACCTAGTGGCCGAGTAGTACACTGCACATAATCGATATTGCACAGACAGTGGACAGAAGAGGGAGAGAGGCCTGGGGTGAAGTTCCCAGTTACAGTGCCTTTTTCTAAGCAGGCCAATCAGGACAGATGGGTGCTAGGAGACAGCAGGATGGTGGCCTTGGGGGCTGGGGTTTCATTACTGCTATATGTGTGGATTGTTCAGCATGCTTCATTTCCTGTCTCTTCCAGCCCATTGTTGCCATGAGCTCTTACGAGGCCCAAGCAGATCCTGAGTGAGAGGGACCCCTTTCCTGCCACCAGCTGGAGTGACCTCACCAGATAGCTCCGCCTGAGAAATGCTGCTTCATTTGTGAGCAATAACCCACAGCAAGGGGCAAGGCCAAGTACCCAGGCAGTGCAGGATTCTGGGGATAGAGAGGGGATCACCAAGCAGCACAGCCAGGCAGACTTGCTCCTAGAAGACATTGGCAGGTCCCCTACTAACTTTTGTCCCCATGACCATTGCCACTGGCTTCTCCATGCAGCAGGCAAATGGCCTGGATTCTCCCGTGATCAATAAGGCTACATCTACATTGAGTTTTCTCGGCAAAAAATATGCTAATGAGGTACTCATTTGCATGAGTCACGATCTCATTTGCATATTTTCCGCCAATCCATTTCCACGCTAGGGTTTTTCCACAAAAACGAGCAGTGTGGATGTTCTCTTTTTGTGCAAAAAAACCCATTTATACCAGGACTGAATTTGCCCTGTTTTTGTCACCATGTCACATGATGTTGCATTGCCCCCCATGGGGGACCTGTTAATATAGAGCAGTGTTTCCCAATTGTATTTGGCCATGGAACCCTTTTAAACTCAAAAGAATTTTGTGGAACCCCTAATAACAGCAACTGGTTTGACAGCTGAAGCTTCGACTTTGTTCGAAACGACGCTAGTATATTTGCATTCAGTCACCTACGTGATCTGAGTGGGTACGGGGATTTATGGTGGTATATAACAGGTGATCGCACCACTGACTGCATATGCAGCACTGAGTAGTGACATGATCATCTCTGGCTAAGCTGGCATTACACAGGGACGCTTATCATAGTAAAAACAATTGAAAATGGTTTTCAATAAAATTCATAAATGCTTTGGAAAAAATATTAATCACAAAATGTTATTGTAATGGAATTTTCTCGTGGAACCCTTATGTTCACTTTGCAGAACTCCAGGGTTCCACGGAACACCATTTGAGAAACAATGCTGCAAAGCATCACCATCAAAAGTGGTAATAGGGGTACCTGGGTGAGTCGCATCAGGGATAGACACAGGCATCTACCTGCTACTTGGCCTGGGTTATTGCTGATCTGCACTATCTCTTGCTTTCATTTAAAAACAAATTAAACAGTTCAGGAAGCTGCT